TATATTAAATTATAACAATATATAATACAGAACATTATTATTAGGTACAGTACAACTACTATTAGTATTATTTTTACAACATATATGAAGTTTTTATTTATATTTTAAAGAAATGGTCTAAAAACCATTTAAAATATTATCATTAGTTTAAAAATACTGTATATTGTAGAACATCACGAACTTTATCTTATTATTTAAAACAATATCTCTCTTTTATTAAATTGAAAAAAATATATATTTTAAAGATAAATTACTACTTCTTAAAAATTCTTAATTTAAAATAACAGATATATAAATTATATATTAACCTGTATATTTTTTTTATTTCACAATAAACTTATCAAAGATTGAAGTGATTGTACATTAAAATGTGAATTTTATTTAAAACTTTTTATTTTAATAAAACAATCAAAAATTGGATATATTCTATAGTAGTTTACTTCACAATAAACCTATAAAAAATAGTTACTTAGTTGCTGTATGCCTACATTTAAATCTGAATGTTAAAATCTATGAAAAAAATTATCATTGTTTTTAATGAAATAATTTTTAAAATTATTATATTTTTTAGTTATTTATTTAATAATAAATCTTTAAAAAATTATAAATACAATAAGATAAATATGTTAATTCTGTGCAAAGTATTGTACTGTTTTAATGAAATATTTGAAAATTAGTTATATTCCATAGCAGTTTATTTCAAAATAAGTAATTTATTTCATATAGCAACTTATACTTATTTTATAATACGTATTAAAAATAACTAAAGTTATAGTGCATTCAAATATTAAGTTTGTGAAAAATACTGTACTGTTTTTAATGAAACAATTAAAAATTTGATTATATTCTACAGTAATTTAAAAGAGTGCATTAAAGCTCTGTTAAAGGTATTTCTTTAACACTGATTGGTAGAAAGCATTTATTTAATCGTTCGAAAACGTGATAGAAATAGAACTTGGCTCTTAATCCGAATGACATTGAAGATTTGTTGGCACTGCAAAACTCAGGTTACTAAAGTATGACGTAACAATTATATACAATTAAAATTTTACGCATTTATGTGTAAATGATAAATACATAATAGAGTAAATTCACATGTAATAAAAAAATGATAATTTCGAATATAATTATAAAAATTTTTCTAAAATAAAAAACAATTTTTTCATATAAACAATTATTATTAATGTTACGTATTTTAAAATTTTCTTATAAAATAAAATATATTAAGAAATCGTTACTAATTTCATTCACTTAATTTACGTATAAGGAAATCTCACATCTGACGTCACCTTCAACGTAATTCGTAACGTTACGTGTTACACACATAAATAAATAAAAAAAAGAAAAAGAATTGTAGAAGACAAACATGGCGGAAGGCGTCAGGAATCCTCCCGATTTGGAAACTCAAAAAAATGAAATATGTACGCTTATAAAAAAGCCATTGAGAAAAGCAGATACGTGGTATGTTATAAATGATTAATTATTCATAATAAATAGTTAAAAACATCTAAATTTCAATAAATTAAAACATGTTAATTGATACATGCTAAGCCTAGATTTTAAGCCTAAGCCGGTTATTAAGAAGTAAAGTACAGTAGTTGCTAAGATGTATATATATATAAAATGACTGCTGGTAATAAATGAAATTTAAAATACATCTTTACATTATTTATTATTAAAATAACGAATTTATTAAAAGATATTATGTAAAATATCAAATCAAAATGATATTTCTTTAATATCTTGAATATGGTGACGTCATTAGGAAGCATGATTTTCAATCGATTGAAGTAAATAAACTACTTTAAATGATTGTTGCTGTTTTTAAGTTTAATATTTCATCCTTTAATTGTATTTTGAAGGAAATATCTTCTAATGAGAGAATTATTGTGATTTCTTATTTCAGAATTTATTGAAATGATGAATGAACTATTTTTTTCTGTACTAAATACATAAAATTATCATTATAAATTTCTCTCTATTAATTCCTGAATTTATTTCAATGTATATTGTGTACAAATCTTGAAGACAGTTGAATATTCAGGATTTGTCATTATTTCTCACATTTCAATTGTACAGTTGCTATGGTTTTTCTTATGTTTTTGGTTAATTAATTAAGATTGGTGTAGTATTAGGCTAAACTGTAGCTGTTTATTTAATTATGAAATGTTATCTACTGTTATAATATACTAAAATGTTGTAATAAACTTTATTAGATCAGCATTACTTTGTTAGATTTTCAAATGATTTTGTTACACTTAAATTAGTTATGTAACAAAGATAGGAATTTAAAGTTTTTTTAAAAATTTTAAAATCAATATCAAACATTTTAAATATGCTGAGATTGATAGAAGTCGAGTGTTAATTTGAATAAAAATGAAATTTTATTTACTTCTTAAATATTTTCATTACAAGAAGTGAGTTATAAATAGAAGAGATGAACAAAATATTTCCCTCTTTTCTAATAAACAATTTTTTTAAATAGCTCATTTGATGTTTTAGTACTTGATTCGTATAATTTTTCATCTTTAATTGTAGGTATTGATGAATAAATTTTAAAAAGTTTGAAACAGTGGAATTAATGGAGCATTGCTATATATATTTAAGATAATTGTCTCTATATTACTAAAATTTATTTGAATTTCATTAAACAGATGACAATGGAATGACATTTTCAATCACTTAAAATGAATACCTCAAGACTTCTTAGACTTGCTTTGTCCATGTTGATCTCATTTCTTAATTTGTTACATTTTCTCTATATTTTTAAAGTAGTAATAAAAATTTTAACCTGCCGTTACTCAAGGATGAGCACCATGCTCACCTTTTGTTTTAAAATGCTTGTAAGTCGGGCTTCTTGGAAGTTTTGTGGCCAAATTTCATCTACCTTTCTACTTCAGTAGCTCTTTCAAGATGATACAGGAATTGGAAGTAATAGTTATTGCTAATGCTTTTGGTGCCTCCTTTATTTCAGTTGGGTTAGATAAGTTAGCACAGTGCTCACCCATGAGTAATCTTGTCTTCTTTTTTGCATTTGAAGTGGTATGATTATAATTGCAAAGTGATATTGTATATACATACTATCATAAAATGTGATGAAATGTTTCTGAAATGGCTTGATGATGAGTCTGAGAAAGAAAATGTAGGCACCTTCCTTGCAGACAATGAGAGCCAGGATTTTCATACAGAGATCCTCAAAGTGTTGAGAAAGAAACCAGATCCTTCACAGGCAACATCAGTATCAAGAGAAGTGTGCATATTGCCCAAAAAAAGAATGGGAAAACATCCAAGAGTGCACTGATCTGCAGATACTACATAATAACAATCTGCAAACAATGCAATTTTAAAAATCTAGACTAGTTTAGTCTAGATTTTTAAAATTGCATTGTAAAATTCAAAACTTAATTATAATTTCTATTCAAGCTTAACAATAATTTCAGATATCGTATTTGTTTTTATCAATCTGATTAGATATCAATTTTTTGTTTCTATATCAAAATTACTTTTAATATATTAATGTATTTTAATGTGTTCTAACTGGAGTACAGTAAAATAAACATTTGAAATGTGTATTATTGATAACAAAACTTACTGACTCAAATCTTTAGCAAACAAAAATCATTATTTGTTTGCTAAAATTTCTCATGACAAATCATTAAGAATACAAAAATATGTAAGGTGAGTGTGGTTTTCATCCTCGAGTAAGAGTTATAAATCCAACCGCGAGGATTCCGGGTTACTTTTAATTATCCATTTTTATATTTGTTAAATGATGAAAATTATTATTATTTTTTATCTTATTATTATTATTTTTTTTTTTTTCTTTAGAATTAAATATTCAGAAGATAACTTGTAGTTGCTCATTTTAGTCTTTTCAAAATACATCAGAAATGTTTTAAAAAGTTAAAAACATTTATAGTAACTAATAAACTAGAATTTATTTACTCTTAAGAAGTGAATATTACACTGTTAGATATTTTACTATAATTATTTTGCATTTTAATACTGTTTAAATTATTTTTTGGTTCAAATATCATTTAATGGTATAGATAGTTTGAGATTTTATGAGATAGTTTATAGATGAGACAGTATTGGAATTACTTTCAGGGCAAAGGAGGTTCAACTTTTTTTGGATACTTGTAATAAAATCAGTTTAAAATAAAAATGTGTGATTTTTGTTATTTCAATATTTTTAAAAACAGTTTACAAAACCAGAAAATTATCTAATAATGCTGAATAATAATAATGTTTTTATATATAGTAATTGTTTTTTGATAGACCAAACTTCTAGTCAGTTACCAAATGATTTGTTGACTTAGCCATGTTTTCACATATATATTATGTTATTCAGTGGGTGATCGGTTAACGAACATAATCCGTTTCAAGACTTTGTTCGCTATCCAAATTGTTTGTTAATTGATTATCGATTTACCATAGGTTTTAATGGGAATTTAATTCACTTGTTCTGGAGACCCCCAAAATAAAAAATATGTACTTTCTTACTAGGTTTATTTATATGTAATAATAAAAATACGTACATACACAGTCTTGCATTTTTATTAGTCATGTTTTTCCATTTGAAAGGATTAAAGAATCTATCTAATGTCGATTGCTTTTCTCTCTTCTTCAGGATTTTTCGTAAGTAATTAATAGCATTGCAATTGTAGAAATCCCCAAGCCTCAACCTGGTTTGGATACCATTCTAAGACTGTTGTTCTGACATTCTCCCACTTCTTCAAAGGATCTTTAATAACAGATATTGGCATTAATCTTCTTTTTCAGAAGAAAACATATCTCATTGAGTTTCTTGGTGTTCTTCATTCAAGAGTTCTTGTTGTTCTTCTGTCATCAGGTCCGTTTCAGGTTCCATTATGAACTCTTCAATGTTCTTTATTTCTCAGATGTGATTTTTGTTTTAAGTATAAACTCTTTATATATATATAAAGCTAGATGCAACCATACCACACAAGCATTGGGAGAAATAGTGATAGAGATGTACTAGCTTCCTGTGTATTTAAATCTTCTTGATTATACAGTATTTTTCTTAAATAAGATTGAACTGCAGCCTACTGTAGACCTGTTCACACCATACTGCCCAGCAACATTAGGCATCTTCTGCCCATTCTCTACCTTTGCTATTATACTCTCATCTTTCGAAAAGAAAAACGGATGCAAAACTTAACAAGTGCCTGCTTGACAGTCTCGCAAATACATAAAAGAATTGTTTTGTCAGAAAAATAAAAGGCTGGAATTACAAGGGAGAGTTCCAAAGTTCGAAGGAATACTATCCAATCGGTATATACCAGCTTGAGTGGCGATGTCGACATCTCTCACACACCGAAAAGTTCGAATTGTTGCCCGAAGACAAGGGAAGACCAATCAGTATTCATTATTTTACGTCACTTCTTCTTGTGATTGTTCTGTGGGGTGTTCGTTGTCCGAATATAAAAATCTTTCGCGAAAGTGTTCGTTATACGATTTGTTCATTATCCGATCATCCACTGTATTCCATTTTTTAAGTTCTGGCCCATTTAATGCTATGAACATGCATGTATCAACATTTTCAACAAGTAACTAATTTTGCAATTCTGTGAAAAATTCATTTTATGAAAAATCCTTTCATATTCAGCTGTGCTTAATGGCAATGTATCAACATATGTTTTTAGCTTTGTAGCACTTTATCAAAAATTTTGGTGAAGATGAATGATGAGAAGAATCTCCACAAATTTATCTCTGTTGTTTACAGTGATATTGTGTTACAATTATGGAATTATTTATTTTGTTGTGAGTAATATTCCATCCTAATGTCAAGAATTTGTTCTTTGACATCAAATAAATTGTGTTAAGATCATTTAAAAGTTGTCATTTTCAGATAAGTTATCACTTCCTACTTGATTTTTATCTTGAGGCTTGAACTTTTTGTTTATTGTAGCAATTTTTAGAGAAAAAGAACAATCACTTGATCAAGACAGATTTTATCATTGGTTATCTCTTTCTTTTGTATTTACAATACTTTTCAGCTTATGGATTTCAAACCTTTTCAAAATAATCCCTTTTCAGTTTAAGCATTCCATTCATTCCCATTCTGACATTTGTTTTGTATTTACTTTCCTGAGAATATCGGTAAATTACACAAAGATTTTAAAAGTTAAAATCATTATTTGTTTGCTAAAGATTTGATAAGAATCTTTCAGAATATCTTAGGGTTGAAATTATAGGATAGTTAAGGAGATGTTCAACCCTTTGTGCTCTGTCCAACAGCCCCCTCTTCCTACTTTTAGGTATCATTATCTAAATATCCCTTGTGCAGAGATTCAATAAGTTTAATTGTGAATAAAAATATGACAAACATAACAAGATCAAAATATTAAATTCATTCTTATATTATCATTATTTAATTATTATTTTTTATTTTTTATAGTTCAAAATATCCTGAACAGAACTTTTTAAATCACATTTGA